CAGGAGCCCCGACACCTTCCCAGCAGGGAGCAGCCAACACGCAGGGACAGGGACACCATCACCCTCCGGCCTGCACCAAGCACCGAGTGAAAGCTCCACATTGCATCCCAGGCTCAGCACAGCGGGGCCAGCAGAGCTTTGCCTGGAGCAAGTGCTGGGAGGGGCTGGGAGATGGGGCTGGGACTGCTCTGCAGGGATTCCCTGGGATTGAGACCCCTCTGCAGGATTCCCTGGGACCCCTCTGCAGGGATCCCTTGGGACTGGGGCTGCTCTGCAGGATTCCCTGGGACCACTCTGCAGGGATCCCTTGGGACTGGGGCTGCTCTGCAGGATTCCCTGGGGCCACTCTGCAGGGATCCCCTGGGGCTGGGGCTGCTCTGCAGGGATCCCCTGGGGCTGGGGCTGCTCTGCAGGGATTCCCTGGGACTGAGGCCCCTCTGCAGGATCCCCTGGCCCTGCGGTGTCCCTGCCAGGGGATGGCTCTGCCCTAAGGCACAGCTGGGACTGGACCCTGCTCCTCGTGCCAGTCTCATTTCTGACCTAAGAAACCGCCAGTCACCATCCCCTGAAATGGGTCAAACACCCTCCACTGCTGGACAAGTGATTCCCAGCTAGGACGAGGCACCTCAGGGCACCCAAAATATCCCCCAAGTGTCCTCCTCAAAGTGGTGATGGCCACGGCGCCAGGACTTTCCAAGACAAAGCACAGAGCTCCATCCCTCCATGCTCGATGCCACCCTCCCACCTCTGGCACGGGGAGAGGGCTGATGCCACCCTGCCCCCATCGGGATTGCCTGGACTCAGCCATGCAAACAGCACCCAGGGAAACGGGGAAAGGCATCACCATCCCACCCTTAACACTTTCTCCAGCTGAACAACACCCCCAAAGCCGAGCCAAGGGCCCAGCCGTGCTGTGGGTGGGACCAGAGCAGGGGGTGCAGGGCAGCAGCACCAGCTCCGGAGGAGTGAGAATTCCAAGGATATGGCCCTGCCTACAGCACCCTGTAACCATCGACTCAACAAATGCTCTGGGTTGGAAGGGACCTTATAGGTAATCTATGACAAAGATCATATAATATCCTGAAATCCCTTCTTTCCCTGCTCCCATATGACTGCCTTGCAGGGGGGATGCCGGGGCACTGAGCTCTCCTTGCAGGTACACACAGAACTGAGGCTAAAGGGCAAAATAAGGCACAGTTAAACCCTATTTGAGGCACTGAATGACTGCATCTTTTACTGTTTGCACTCCCAGCTTTGCAGCCTGCCCAGAGATGGTTTGCTAAAGCATTTAAAAATAGGGAAAACCAAGCCCTGCTTCCCTCCGGCGGCGGTGGAGCCTCCGTGTGCTCGCACCAAGATATGCATATTTTAAAAGCTTGGCAGGAGAGGGCTCCAAACTACACAATTAAACAGATTTTACACACAACACTCCCCGTACACGCCAAGCACTGCCAAACACCCTTTCCTTGTGCTGCATCCCTGCAGGAGACCCCTTCGGAGCAATGACCCTGGCTGGCTCCTTATTCTGCCGGGGAAAGCACTTGTCTGCCCTTTGCCGCTGCTTAATTGTGCATAAAAGGGGGATTAAAAACAAAAACGACTTCTTTTGTCAAGGGATGGAGCGGGAACAATTGCCTGGGAGGAAATTTAACCCTCCTGGAGGAAAGAGATATCTCCAGCGCTTGTCTGTGTCCACACGTGGGGTGGGACGGATACTGCTCTGCTCAGGCCACCCCAGGCACCCGAAGGGCATCTATTGTGCTGCAGAACAACAGAACCTTTTGAAGGAGTGTTCAGGCCTAAAAACACACACACACACACTCACACACACACACACACACAAAAAAAAAAAAAAAAAATGGGGCAAAGAAGCAGGAGAAAAAAGGTGATGGTGTCAAAGCACCAAGTGAAGGGGCCAGGGTTGCGGCTGCTGCACCCCCCAGCACCAAGGATGTGTCTCAAGGAGGCATCCAGGGATGAAACAGGGGAGCAGGTCCTAAAATACAGGCAGAGGGAAAGGGAGACTGACAGCAATCTGTGAAAAGAGAAAACAGGAGGTACAAGGCTCTACAGCACCCAGTGCCCTGTGTGGGGGTTGGAACAAGATGTTCTTTAGGGTTGTTTTCAACCCCAACCTTTCTTTGACTCTGTGATAAACTGAAGGCACCCACGGAGCAGCTCCAGCCTCCCAGGGGTGGGAGCTGCCTCTTCCATCCTCACTCCCATCCTTCAGTGTCACTGTGTCTCTCAGGTGACAGGCACAAAGGACAGGGGTGGGGAGGATATTGCTGGAGAGCAGGGATTGCCCAGAGCTGCAGGCACCCACTCCCCTGCTCTTGGGGTGCTGGGAAGCACCAGCCAGAGCCCGTGGTAATGCCCTTTCCTCCATTTAATGTAGTCAGCCGGGTCTGGGCGAGCCCTTTGCCTCACACTGATGCTAATCCCCTAATGCTGCCCCTTTAAGCACATTAGGGACAGGCCAGCCCAGCACAGCCCAGGCTCCTCTGGAACTCCCCAGTGGCTGCTGAAACTCTGCCTTGTCCTAATAGAGCGCACAGCAGGAGAGCAGAGCCACTTAAACAGCTGGCTGTGGAGAGCCCAGGGTTTCAGGGATCTCTCCAATTCCTGGCACAACATGTGCAGCAGCCAGTGCCAGAGGAGCTGTCAGACCACGGAACAGAAGGCATTTATCAGAGTCACTGAATGGTTTGGGTTGGAACGGATCTTAAAGATCATGCAGTTCCAGCTCCCTGCCATGGGACACCTTCCACTAGAGCAGGTGGCCCAGGTGGCTCCGTTTCTCTCACTGAATGGCACCCATGAGACAGCAGAGAGGGAGGATGCAGAGAGGACAGAACATCCAAAGGATGTTCCCAGTTTTCCACTTCCACTTTTGGGGGTGTATCTAAAAGACAGCAGCAGAGAATTGTTGTCTTTCAGTGATACCACTCAGTACTGAAAAGTATTTTTCTGAACATGAAAAAGGGGAAGTTTAGGTTAGATCTTTTTTGCCCAGAGCAGCTGTGGCTGGCCCATCCCTGGAAGGGTCCAAGGCCAGGTTGGACAGACCTTGGAGCAACCTGGGATAGTGGAATGTGTCCCTGCCCATGGCAGGGGTGGGATTGGATGATCCTTAAAGTCTCTTCCCACCCAAACCAAAATTCTGGAATTTTACCAGAGCCAAACTAGCAGCTGTGGCTGGCCCATCCCTGGAAGGGTCCAAGGCCAGGTTGGACAGACCTTGGAGCAACCTGGGATAGTGGAATGTGTCCCTGCCCATGGCAGGGGTGGGATTGGATGATCCTTAAAGTCTCTTCCCACCCAAACCATTCTGGAATTTTACCAGAGCCTTTTACCCCAGTGGGTGAAGAGGTTTCCTTGTTACCTCTCCCATAAAGTATCTTTTACTGTCAATAAAATCCCTCTGCTCCTACAAAATACCCCAGTGGGTGAAGAGGTTTCCTTGTTACCTCTCCCATAAAGCATCTTTTACTGTCAATAAAATCCCTTTGAAACTACTCTGCTCCTACAAAATCAGTCAGGGAGGAGACAGGAAAACAAACCAACAGCCTACAAGGTCTCTGCTTATTTTAGAAGACAGAGAAACTGAAAATTGTTCTGTGCCATTTCAAGAACATGTGGCTTCCCTACCCTGTGCAGCTGCCACGGGGAAATCACCAACCCAGAACTCATCTGCAAACTCTCCAGAGAGCCATGTTTCCACTGCTCTTTAACTCAGACCCTCCTTTTAGGAATAGGCATGTGGGAAAGCTTTAATAACTATAAAATTTAATAAAAATAAAAGAGAATAACAATAAAAAGTGAGAGCTTGTAGGCAGAAATGACATTTCAGCCAACTGGCAGCCAGGGTGAAAGGCACACTGAGGTGTTCCCAGTTACCCCAGACAAGGAATCCCAGTTATCCTGGACAAGGGATCTCAGGTTTGTGACTTCCCATGATGTTCCAGAGCATCCCCCTAATAAAGATCATCTCTTGCACCCTCAGCTGATGAAAACTCTGGTAGCTCCAATAAAACCATCACACCCCAGCAGCCGAGGAGGGGCTCTGATGTTTTTCTTGGGTTTATTGACTGTGGCTAAGGGAGGGTGCTGCAAACCATCTAGATCCTTCTGAGTCTGGGAAAAATCCCAGATAAACTGCAATTTTGGCATGGCCAGCCTCTCTCAGGACAAGGCCCCCTCTCCACAGCCTTGGGAAAGGTGTGACTCGCACAGGTCAGGGCCAAATTTCTCTTTGCTGTAGGTATTTAACAGCATGCCTGTTCCATGTGCTACCTTGGAGGAATTTGGCTTTTTTTAACCCAAAATCCTGCAAAACTGAGCAGAGCTGCAGCCAAGGCTCTTGAGGCCAAGCTGCTTTTGGCCTGTGTCAGTGGCAGGGGCTGGATGGGAGCACTAAACCACTGAAATCACCTTTTTAGCACAGAAGTGAAGCAATCCAGCTGCAGAGAAGCAGCAGGGTTTTCCTCCTCCCACAGCACGAAAAAGCAAATACAATCAGAGGAGCTCTAGGATGTGATCCCACTTTATCTAACATGTATAAAAATACCCAAGAGTGACAGGATAAGCTGGAGAATAAAAGTAAGCAGTGGAAGGCATGGAGTTTGTCTAAAAAAAACCAACACTATGACTCCATTGAAGTCTCCCCCGTGCAGAGCTCACCTGATCCTGTCAGATGTCCCGTGGCCCCTGGCATACACGTGAAGATGAAGCCGGTGACTTTTCCCAGCTGCATTTTTGGTTATTTTTCAATCCTGATTTTTTACTGTCCCCCTTATTTCACACAGCTGCCGAGGTTCCCTGGCCAAGCTTCCCGGCAGCTGCTCGGTGCCAGTTCCCACTGGGTTTGGGGTCGTTCTCGGTGGAGCAGGATGAACCTCCACCCCCAGATTTCACTGCCAAGGTGAGGGACAGGTGGATCTGGGGGTGCTTATTGCCTGTGGATGCTTTGTTGGGCACATGGGAGGAGCAGCGGGACAGGAACCAGGAAGGGGTTGCAGAGCCACCATGTCTTGTGGGATGGAGGAGCTGGAACCATCTGGAAAGGCTTTTTACAGGATGAGCAAGGACCAAGGGGGATGGGAGAGAGAAGGGGTGCCATGACAACCTTTGGGGGTTTCCCAGGAAACCATGGTCACCATGGCAACTGCATCACTCCGGTCGGAATTAGTGACTTCCGCTGGAAGGCGTGTTCGCCACTTTAATCTTCTGGCGATAAGCGGCTGCATCTCCTCCAAAGGCATTGCAGAACGAGGAGGAAATATCCCTTTGTCTCCGGCTGGGCGGGTTGGAGGCTCCCAGCCACAGCGAGGAGCCCGGCGTGGATCCTGCTCCGAGCCGACATCGCTCCCTGCGCCGGCGGCTCCCGAAAGCATTCCAGTCTGCCTCTCCTCTCCCTCCTACCGCACACATCCCTGCTGCACGGCCACAGACTTGACATTGGAGGAAATAATTCCATCAGGTTACAGGGGAAGGGAATCCAGAATAGAAAACGAAGGCTTAGGGAGGCTTTTTGTCTATATAAATCAGCATTGATTGCACTCGGTCTCTGACCAGATTAGAATTTCATAAATGATGTAATGGGGAGAAAAAGGGAATCTGGGATGTGCCCGTAATTGCACATCACATGTTTCAATATTAAGCATCATTTAACGATGTGGTAACAGAGACTCTCTGCAGAATTAAATGGTTATTTCCTCCCAGCCCCCTCCCAGTACACTCTGCCTCACGTTTTCCTCGTTCCTCCACCCAGTCCGAGTTTGTAATCCAACAAGTTATTTTATGTGATGGAAGGGAGATTGGCTACACACTGCCCTTAGGGAAAGAGGGGGAAATTCAGGAGCAAAGCAAGAGGTTCCCCAAAAGCCCGAAAAGCAAAGCAGCCCTGCAACACGTTGCAGAACAAACACCTGTTTTGACAGTGAGTGTGGTTTGTCTTCATCTTCCTTCTCTTTACCCTTTAGCTGTCCTCTTCTTCAGAGAATTTTAAATCCTTTTACTTTTGGATCTTTAGAAAGGAAGGATCTAAAAAAATAAAGGTATAAAAACGAGGGCACACACAGGACCGACGATGGTGCATGTTCCACACAACACCGACACACAGTCACTTTGCATTATTATTGGTATTGTTATTGGTATTGTTTTACCGCATCCTCGGATTTTGTTGCTGTTCGTTTGGTTTGGGTTTGTTTTAAACATCCGTAAAGATCTTTTTGATGTTCACACAGTTGGGATTGTTTGTGGTTGTGCAGTTGCCTGCTTTAAAGGCAGCCTGTTTGAATGCACTGTGATTGATCCCCCCTTCCTCAATCACCATGTACTCGGACTTGCTGAGGGTGGAATTGCTGCGAGCCTTCTTCATCTCCTCGCTGGACGAGAGGTGCTGGCAGCTCCCGACGTGCATGTACTGGGCTTGTTCCTCACCTTCCGTCTCCCGGTGGTAGAAATAGTTGAAATTGGAGACGATGACGGGCACGGGGAGGGCGATGGTCAGCACCCCCGCGATGGCGCACAGAGAGCCCACGATCTTGCCCCCAATGGTGATGGGGTGCATGTCCCCGTAGCCCACGGTGGTCATGGTGACCACGGCCCACCAGAAGGCATCGGGGATGCTACTGAACCCCGAGCTGGGGTCATCGGCTTCCGCGAAGTAAACGGCGCTGGAGAAGAGGATGACGCCGATGAAGAGGAAGAAGATGAGCAAGCCCAGCTCCCTCATGCTGGCCTTGAGGGTCTGCCCCAGGATCTGCAGCCCCTTGGAGTGCCGGGAGAGCTTGAAGATGCGGAAGACCCTGACGAGGCGGATGACTCTGAGGATGGCCAAGGACATGGCTTGCTGGCCATTGCCTTGCCGCTCAGCCAGCTCTGTGCCCAGGGTGATGAAGTAGGGGATGATGGCCACAATGTCAATGATGTTCATGATGTTCTTGGAGAAGGTGGCCTTGCTGGGGCAGGCAAAGAAACGGACCAGCAGCTCAAAGGAGAACCAGATGATGCACAAAGTCTCCACCACAAAGAAAGGGTCGGTGAAGGATGACACCATGGAAACAGGCGAGGATGAGGAGTTGGTGAAGACATCAGGTGGGAGAGGGCCGCTGCCTGTCCCGAAGGTCCCCCCAGTTCCCTCATAGTCATGATCATCCCTGAATTCAGGCAGGGTCTCCAGACAGAAGATGACAATAGAGATAAGGATGACCAGGACAGACACAATGGCAATGCCTCGGGCTGGCCCAGAGCTCTCGGGGTACTCGAAGAGGAGCCACACCTGGCGCTGAAACTCCTTCTCGGGAAGCGGCCGCTGCTCCTCCCGAATGAAACCCTCGTCCTCCCGAAACTTCTCCATGGCCTCCTCCCCCAGCTGGTAGAAGCGGATCTCCTCGGAGAAGATGTCGATGGGGACATTGACGGGACGCCGGATGCGCCCGCCCGACTGGTAGTAGTAGAGGATGGCATCGAAGCTGGGACGGTTACGGTCGAAAAAATACTCATTGCGGAGGGGGTCGAAGTAGCGCATCCTCTTGCGGGGGTCCCCCAGCAGCGTCTCGGGGAACTGTGCCAGGGTCTTGAGCTGGGTCTCGAAGCGCAGCCCCGAGATGTTGATGACCACGCGCTCGCAGCACTCGTGCTCCCCAGCGCCCGCGGGCTGCCCGGCGGGCACGGCCGCTGCCGGGGGCTGATCGTAGCGGTCCCCCCCGAGCAGCGCAGGGGGATGCTGGGGCTCCTCCAGCAAAGGGTCTCCGCCGCCGCCGCCTCCCACCACGGTCATGCTGCCTTCCTCCCCTTCTTCGCCCTCTTCCTCCTGCTGCTCGGGGCCCGGCTGGGGGGCGGCGGGGGGCAGCTGCTCGGTGTAGCCCAGGTTGTGGTGGCTGCTGGTCGAGCCGCCCCGCGGCTGCCGGCCGGCGGAGGAGGCGGCCGGAGAGTAGAGCAAGCTCCGGCGCTCGTCCATAAAGGTGTGGGGCGGAAGGGGAAGGGGGGGGAGGGGGGATCCGAGAGGCGGCAGCCGAAGCCTCTTCTTCCTCCTCTTCCTCCTCCTCCGGGCGGAGAGGGAGCAACAGCCGCCCAACTCCTCCAGCGGCTGCCGCTGCTCTGAAGAGCTGAGGCTCTTCTCAAAAAATCCGCCCCCAGCCCTGGCACCGCCTCACTCAGTCACCGCTCCCGGAGACACCCACCAGCCCCCCGGCCCTGCCCCGCAGCCCCCCGCCATCTGCGGGGACCCCCTCCCCTGCCCCTGCTTGGGGGAGCCCCATCCACCCCCAGGCAGCGCCGAGGGGCTTCAGTCTCCTCCCGGGAGCATCCTTTGCTGCTCAGCGGGCTGCAAGCAGGGAGAGGGGTTTTTCCTGGCAGAACCGCTGCCTAGAAAGAGTTTTTCTGCCCTTCCCCAGGTGGAATGCAATTTTGACTCTGATTTTGGCGTTTGCCTGTTGGTTTTCAGCTACGGTTTCACACGGTGGGAGGCTGTGGGCAGTGGAAAGCCGACAGCGTGGCCAGACCCAACAGTTGTTTTGAATCAGCGTCTGGGTTAGGCTGGGGATTGTTTTTCTCTGTCTAGGAGAGCGTGTGCATGTGTGTGTGTCCATGAGTGTGGGTGCACACGTGTGTGTGTGCGTGTGCTTCCCCCACCAAAATAAACCCAGAAGCAAAGCTGAGCCAGCCCTCGACCAAGGAGGTTCCAGGCTGAACCCAAACCTGCATTTCAGACTTTCCATCAAGAAAGCCAAACCCCTTATATTTCTTTTTCTTTCTTTCTTTCTTTCTTTCTTTCTTTCTTTCTTTCTTTCGTCTTCAGTTGGTCTTAAGCAAATAGTTCAATTGTGAGCAAAAGGGACTTTTTCAGGCAAAAACCTCCTCTGCAGGAGCCCAGAGCTGGAAAACACCCCATCCCCAGGAGATGTGCATCAGGGACAACCTCTGATCTCTGCACTCCCAGCTCTCCCCCCAATCCCCATTTTTCCAACCCCCTGCAATAGCTGAAATGCTTTAACTCCCAGCCATGGGAGTTTAGGCAATTCAGGGAGCTCCCACCTTGGGAAAAAAAGTAATGAAATGGTTTGGGTTGAAAGGGATTTTAAAGCTCATCTCATTCCACCTTGTATTGGACCAAGGCCTCGACCATGAAGGCTGGGGAGAGGACAGGAGGGAGCCTATGTTCCCTTCCTGAGCCAGATGGGTGGTCCTGCCGTGATGGGGATTAAAAACCCTCCACCATCCCCAGTTGAGCTCATAATGCCAGTTATTTTTAACCAGCACAGCCTCCAGAAGGTAGGGAGAACAACAGATGAAAAGATCAAACTTATTTATACTTTAAACCAGAAACAAGCTGTCCAAAATACCCATGTCTGGGGAAGGAACAACAATAAATATTGGTGCAAGAGCCGACTCCAGACTCTGGCAGATGAAGAGTGAGGATGGAGCCTGGCTGAGCTGAGCCCACCCACCTCTTTGCTGACAGAGGGGAAACACCCTCTGCTACCAGAAACCCGGGAGAATTCCAGAGGGAATGGTCCCAGCAAGGTGTGCATGGAAAGGTGGATGCTCACCCATGCCCCCTCACAAGGAGAGTTGTCTCCAGGCCATGTTACCCCACCCCAGACTTGGACACAAGTCCCTTGTTTCCACTTCCATCCTTGGCTTTAAGCCCCAATTTTAACACCTGTTTTTCTTGAGGGTGTGGATCTCCTGGGAGAAGGGAGTTGGAAAGTTGGTCCCCCACCATTCCTGCAGCAGTTTGTGGTGCTAACCAACACCATGCTCCCAGTGACAGCATCCACTCCTCCCTCACAACCCACAGCATCTTCCAGACATCCCAAAACCTAGACAAGGCAGGAAGCAAAGCCCTGGGGCACCATTAACCCTTGAGCTCCCCTTATGGCCTGTAGGTTGGGGAAAATTCCTCTAAGCAACAGTTCACACACAAGTCTGAGGCTTTATTTTCATGAAAATGAAATAACCATCATCCCTTCACCACATATATATGTGTAGCTTGTCTGGCTCATCCCTTTTCCCTGCTAGGATTTCTGCCAATAAATCAGTGTTGTCTGGTTTAAGGCAAACAAATGAGGCTGCCTCAAACCATAAACATTTATTGAGGACACAAGGCTTGAGGCACAAGGTGTAACTTCCATAATTGCAATAATTTACTGTGCATCTGTCAGGGGCAAACCCATCAGGAATTACCGCAGAGAGAGCCACAGACCTTTGGGATGCTGCTTGGAAAAGCCTTTCCTTTAAGAGCAGCAGGATTAAGTCCTTACCCCACAGCTGCAGCACAGCAGCAGACATTAACCCTTGAGCTCCGGTGGCTTTGGTCGGGTGTCGCGCTGGGATTTCTCCCGGAGCTGGCGGCCCCAGCACGCCGTGGCCTCCTGGCCCTGTTTACTCCTCCGCTGCTTCCCTGTAATCCTATCAAAGCCAATTAGGCTGTGCCAGGCGAGCAGCAGCGCTGCAGGCAGAGAGCAGCCGAGGGGCAGAGCCTCCCCAGCCCTTCCCCGCAGCTCCTGCCTTCCCCTGGCTCTCCAGCCGAGCTTTGAGGCAGCATCGGGGATGCAGCAACAGCATCACCTCCCCCGTGAGCTCCCTGCCAGCCTCACACGCCCTCTCTGCAGGGGTTTGCATCCAGGAGCTGCACGAGCCCGGCATTTGTCAAGCAGAAACAGAGGTGGTTCTAGGTCAGGCTTCAAAGCCTGGAGGTCTGAGCACAAGGGAAGGCGATAAAAGCCCAGGGGAAGGGGCATCTCCCTGGTGTCCAGCCTGGCCAAAGCTTTCCCATAAACTGGGAGCCCATGCAGCACCAAACCATCTCCTCTAGGCTGTGGTCTGCTGTCTAATGCGAGATGTCCCAGTGTTCCCTCTGCAAATTTCCTTCTGCTTTTTCATCCATCTCTTCTGCTGCATCTGGTCTCAACAAATTTGATTTTGTTCCTAACGGCCATTTAAGAAATCCCCCTGTGCAATGGTCCACAGGCTGCCCTGGAACAACACATGCAGTTTCTATGAGGAAGCAGAGCAAACATTGCTCTTTTCCTCCCTTAATGGCCTTCTCAGGGCCCATTTCCAAGCAGAGGGGATGAACAACTTCCCTCTTTCTCACAGCCAGACCCAGACCATGAGGGGAATTCCCCCAGCATCCCTCCCCCGGGGGACATGGGCTGCACAAAACATGTGGGAGCTTCACCCCAGCTCTCAGTTACTCCCAGCCATGGGGCTGCCTTGGCATCCTGCTTCCACCTTGAATTTTTCCTTCCTTCTTGATGAATCTCACTGCCTCTCAAGCAGCGTTTTGGGGTTGTCCTTCTCCCCCCAAAGCTCCCCTTGGTAGCATCAGCAGCCAGGCCATGTGTACAGAATCCAGCCTGGCTGTGAGCAGGATCTCACCCCCCTCCTCTCCTCCCTCCTGTTTCAATGGGAACTCTGCTTCCATTGATAAATCTGGGACAAATCTGCTCATCTTTACTTTGCAGGATCAGAAACCTCTCAGCAGACACGCAGTTACAATAATACCTTAATGCACTGCAAATGCATTGTCTGTCCTCCCACAGCAAAGCCCCAACTGCTCCAGCCAGGCAGTGCAGCTTTATCTCCCTCCAGGTTTCTTCTCTCAGGAACTCGAGCCCTCCCGTGCTGCTCAGAAGGGACAAATGTACTCGGGAAAGGCTCAAGGTTGTCACTGAGGTCACCAATCACAGGCAGGACTGCAGGGATGGCTGGCAGCAAACACAGTTCAGCATCAACCCAACCTTCTGAGATGAACTTGGAGCAATCACAGAATCATGGAGTTGTTTATGTTGGAAAAGCTCTCTAAGGTGATGGTGTCCAACTGTCCACCTAACTGCCAAGGGCAACCATTAGACCATGTCCCCAGGTGCCACATCCATGTGTCTTTTAAATCTCTCCAGGGATGGGGACTCCACCCTGTGGAGACTGTGATAGTGCCATACCTTGGGAAAGAAATTTCCCCTAATATCCAACCTGAACCTCACCAGCACAACTTGAGGCCATTTCCCCTTGTCCTGGCTCTCAGCAATCAGGCAGTAAGAAAACACAACCTCTGGCTCCAGACTGGCCAGTCCTGCCGTCCTCATGCCATCCTCACCTTCTTCCTTGTGGAGACAGGAGGTGGGAGCATCCCTGCAGTCTGTGAGCTCACACTCTTCCAGAAGAACTCGGATGCTATCCCCAATGTGCTCCCAGATGGGGCCATCTCATTCCCAGAAATCAGGGATCCTATCTCATCTCCTCACCGAGCCACAAAAGCATCCAGTGAGGGTTCCCTCTCTGGGGTAAGACAAATTCTCCACCAACGCCATCCAGGGAGACAGTGGGAAGGATGGGAACTGAGTCTTGGTTTCCCAGGATGGATTTAGAGCTCTAACTCTGGAGCACACCATTCCTATTCCTGTCACTGTCTTAGTCAGACTCCAGGTATAGCTCAGCCGTGGAGTGGATCCTTCAATCCCTGCGTGCCTCAGTTTCTCATCTGTACATTGAGGGAGTATTTCTCACCTCCCACCTGGAGTCTATTTCAATCCTACACCAGAAGCTTTTCACTGCACTCCCAGTTGCAGAGTTGGTCCTCCTTTCTCAGTTGAGAAAGATACTGAAATATGGAAGAGGGAGGAAAATCCAGTGCTGTGTAAACCCTGCAGCTTGCTCAGCCCTCGGCACAGGTGGAAAGCATCACTGGGAGCTCCCCGGGGAGCACTGGGGATGCCTCTCTCACACAGGACATTTAGCTCCAGGCACAGCAGGACCCCAGACACCCTGGGATCCTCTCCGACTGCTGGACGCCTTCAAAGAACAGGCAGGGGGGAGGGAGGGGAAGTGAAAATTGAACTGATACCCCAAAGTAACCGAGCGTGGACAGCAGCTATTTTTCATGGGTTGTTTCCCACAAAGCTGAGGATTGAGCAAGAATATTTCTTGGGAAGTGAAGAACAAGTTCCAGTGGCTAAAAAAGATCAGACAAATTACTCAA